TGGGATCGTCTACGAAAAGATCATTTACCTTTTGTACAATGAGGTCAAAATCATTCTTATCCCTTCTGGGTGGTTCTAGAGTGTCATTGATTAGACATAAAATTTCAAAAAAATTTAATTCCCAAACTTCGTGACTCTCCCCACCCCATCCAATTTGACATCTAATGAGTAGGAATAGTTGTGACCTCCTTGTACAAAGGGTAAATGGTCTCTCTATAAATAATCCCTATATAAACATTGAGCGTGTAGGAGCCTTCTCCCCGCTGACTCACCCCAAAAAAAAAAGTAATTTAAGTGTGAATACCTGTACTCCCTTGGGAGCATAGTTCAGTTCGCCTTCCTCTCAGATGACTACTTGGGAGGATTTTTCAATTTGGAGTTTAGGAATCACCACAGAATATCTAAGAATTAATGATTACTTTCAAAAAAAAAAGTTTAAAATTTTGAGTTTTCTAACACTTAGATCTCACCTTTTAAAAATTGGACGGTTTGTATTAAATCTCAAAACATAATTTTTTTGATGTCTTTAGGGTGCAATTAGAAAATATTTTTTATTGAGCTTAAACTATGTGCTAAAGAGGTTGTATCTCCATAAATTTTGGTGCTTAAAATTAATTGTAGATGGGGTTTTACCCGAGGAAGTAAATGTACATTGTACTCCTAAGGGAGTAGAATCTTTTGGGATAAATATTTAGTCATTTGTTCTTTTCAAATGCGGAGTTTCTTAATCTTACACGTGAGAAAATATATGGCATAATACTATTCCAAGTGAAGGAGTACTAATACGGCACAAGTTCAATGACTCCACAAGTCCACTGACAATATTTCCGAATCCAAGGATATAATAATAAGAGGTTATATATTTGGGTGTGGTTTATAAACAATTGAAAAATACATTTCAAAAATAATGTAGATCGAATAGATTTATAAACAATTGAAAATCCTGAAAATTGATGGTTCGGAAAATACATTACATGATGCATCACTTTCAAAACTTGAAAACAAATTTTCCTCATGTCCATATATCTTGAGGTCGAGATGATCGATTTGAAGATTTTTTGGCATTGAAACCTCTTCTATTTAATTTTTTAGAAGCGCCTTAATTTGATTATTTAGGGCTTCACTCTTATATAAACTTTTTTCCATTAATAAATCCAATGTGTATCTCTTGTGACTATTTCAAAAAAAAAAAAAAATTGAATGTGCACCTTAGTCTCACTGTAGCCTTAAAAAAAATGTTGACTAAATAAGATGAGAAAATTCGTCCTTTTTCCCTGCATATAACCTTCACATCTAAATATTTGAAGCTAAATATAAAACATATGTAAGGGAATGGGTACACTAAACCTTGCAAATTCAATGAACCCAGCCACCCTCAGCCCCACACACAAGTAAAAACTTGAAAAGTTTTATTACTCCCGCTAGGGATATACTATGCATTTTCTCCCCGGATAAAACTCAAGCTTAGAATATCTTTCGAACCTCAAACTTTGAGGATGCAACCTCAAGAACCTAACAACCAACCTAAAATAAAAAAATTTAAATCGCACTAATGGTGCCTAAAATAATGTCCTAAGACTGAAAAGGAATCGTTTAGGTTATGGAGGCCAATATTCAGGTGTTCAAGAACTCGAGTCCAATTTTTTTTCTTTAAAATAATAATCTGGTGATACTTAGATGGATCCAAAATTTTGAAAAAAAAATAAAAAGAAAACTAAAAAAAATCTCCCAAGCAACTCTTCGCTCCATGTACGATACTCTCGCACCGGAGCATACCATATCCTCTCAAAAAATCGAGAAGAATGTATCTAAGGGTGGTACAAAAAACGCATATAGTGTGATTGATGCAATGGGTTTTTATATTTTTCTATTTTAATATTATCTTGTTTATTGGTTTGGGGTTATTTTGGATCTTTAGCTTTATTTAGAGTTATTTTTGTTTATTGAAAAGATTTGAGGGGATTGTCTATAAAGACAATTTATCTTTGACACATGGAGATCACAATTATTTTTTATATCATGAGTTGGTAATCCTTGATAATAGCGAGATTGAGGAAGACGTCGCGCATAAAATTAAAACTGGATGGGCAAATTGGATACATGCAAATCTAAAGTTTTATGTGATATATCATTGAAACTAAAGAGGAACTTTTATAGGACAAATGTAATACCCGTCATGCTTTTATGGGATGGAATGTTCGGTATTCAAGAAACAACATATCTATAGGGTGAGGGTTGTTGAGATGAGGATTTTGAGATGGATGAGTGGCAAGTCAAGAAATGATAGAATTCGAAATAAATATATACAATGGACTCCAATAGCTGATAAACTGAGGGAAAATAGACTTAGATGGACTAGTCACGTGTAGCCGAGACCTGATACATCACCTATTAGGAGAGGCAATTCAGTTCAAGTAGAATGCTTTAAAAGAGCAAGGGGAAGTTCCAAAGGATATTGGAGGAAAGTGATAAGAAAAAATATAGTGATTTATAGTTTGATTGAGGGTATGGCCCTTGATAGAACAAAATAATAGAAATTAATTAGTGTAGCTGACCCCAAATAGTTAAGATAAAGCTCAGATGATGATAGTGATAAGTAATTTTAGATATGATAATCTATTCCAAATAAAGCTAATTACCATAGTGCTTAGACACATATAGGGCCTATGAATTTTATTCATTTCTTGATGTTGGTCCTAACTCATGGAGATTACATTTTTAAAAGGGTGGGGTTTATTTAAAGATACAACCTTAATTGTAGAAGTAAGTAATAATTTGTGGGATTGTCTACAAAGAGACTATTTATCTTTGGGTGCGTTTTGTATAGAGCCGAGGCTCTAAACAATCAAAAGTAAAACGCACATTCAATAGTATCAAGAAATGTGGTTTCAATACTGGAAATCTTTGTGATGGCTTTAAAATATATTTTTATTTTTATTTATAAAATTTAAAAGCTTCAAAAACAGTGTAGATTGAGCATATCTATAAAAACTTAAAAATCTTGAAAATTGACGATCCAAAAATATATTACAAAATACACTATTTTCAAAACTTGATGTATTACAAGATGCACTATTTTCAAAACTTCAAATCCATTTTTTTCTGATGTCCATGCATCTTGATATCGAGACGATCAATTTGAGGATATTTGGGCCTCAAAACAACCTCTTCTAATAAATTTTTTGAGGTAGGCTCAAATTTGATTATAGACTTTTTCTTTTATCTTTTGTACATGGAGGTTACAATCCTTCTCACTCATTAGATGTCAAATTGGATGGCTTAAGGTAAGCTATGAAATCCAAGAATTTATTTTTTGGAGCTTTGTGTCTATTCAATAACATTCTTGCAACCACCTATTTTGAAATTTAAAAGACAAGAATGATTGTGACCTCCATATACAAAAGATAAATGATCTCTTTGTAGACAATCCCTATTTCATACCATCTATTTTTTGGATACGTAGTTTTGACATGTATTGTAAAGCATTTAAAAAGGTAACACATCCTTATATAAACATTTTCCTTTCCAAAAAGGATAATTGTTTCATGTGGGCTGGGCTATATTTCTACAATATGCGGTCTGAAGGTACAAACCATCTATCTTAAAGATGGATGCAAATAGGTGGTCCATCTAAAAACAATTGTAACTAACAGTCCAAAAGTTTTCTTAATATAATTATTATATCTAATCATCAAAATAGTTTTTTTTTTTTATTATTCATTTTCTCCATGTTAAAGATTATATATTCTCTAAAGGGTGCGGTTTGTATAGAGCCTAGGCCCTAAACAATAAAATTAGAGCCTACCTTCAAATATTGTTGAGAAATGTGGTTTCAATACTGAAAATCTTTGTCATAGCTTTAAAATATATTTTCATCTTTATTTATAAAGTTTAAAGCTTCAAAAATAGTGTAGCTCGACAGATCTATGAAAACTTGAAAAATCTTGAAAATTGACGGTCCAAACATGCATTACAAAATACACTATTTTCAAAGCTTGAAATCCATTTTTTCTCATGTCCATGTATCTTGGTGTCGAGATGATCAATTTGAGAATATTTGGGCATCAAAACAACATTTTCTAATAAAATTTTTGTAGTAGACTCCAATTGGATTGTTTAGAGCCTCGGCTCTATATAAGCGTTTCTTTTTTAAAAAAGTTAGGATCAACTTATATTTTAAAAAATATTTGTTGCCAAGCCCACATTTCTACATTATGCAGGCCGGCCGCATAGAAAACGTGTCCTTCCGTGGTAGATTTTTTTTTTGTATCTTTTTAGTTTTTAACACTTTTTTTATCGTCCGGGACTTGCTCAGTTAGAACAGTTGAACCGGCTGATTTACCGGTTGAGCTCGCCAAATTGCTTCCGAGCTCATGTTTGGCTAACCGTTCTAGTTCGATTTTACAAACACTAATTCAGATGTCCAATTGAATTTGACCAACTGGGTCCAGGTTTAGGTTTGGGTCTGCGTCGGGCTTGGATCCTATGTATTATATGCAAGTGAAAAGTTTTCGTGCCCCTCCAGGAGCGTGTTTAGGATTACTCCCTTTGGGTAAATCCTTGTGATTATTAAAACAAAATACATTCGCATGAAGTTGAAAATTAATGAAAAAAAATATATTTTAACGAATAGATTTTTTAATTAAAGTGGGTATTAATGACAAAAAAAATTTTAATCTTTATCATAATGTAAATAATATTAAAAAATTCATTATAAACCAAATTCTTTTATTTTTGGGAATTTTTATATATATTTTTTGATTTTTTTTTAAATACCGATCGATCACCGAAACCACCCAAAATTGGAAGTGGCCGGTTCTGATCTAACCTGATGATTAGCGGTTAGATCGCCATGTTTTCTGACAATGATATAAACCATACCTGACCCGTTGGACCGGACCCGTCCCGATCCAATTCCAGCCCTACTATTTAAGATGGTAAAGAGCCGCCTTTTGACCGAAATGAGATGGGAAATTTCATCTTTTACCCTATATATACCCTTCCTAAGAAGCCAAATATCCTCAGGCCTGGGCTATTATCTTCTCGTTCCCAAAGCTAAAGCCATGGCGTCCCTCTCCGGTTTTACAGGTTCTTCTATTAGCTCAGAATGGGCAGGCCTTTCATGGAAACAGTTCATTCCAATTCAAAAACCCACAATCTCTGTTTCAAAGAATTCTTCAAAAGCTCGTTCAAATGCTTCTTCTTCATCAGTGAAGATGGCCATCTCAGTTGAGAAGAGATTAATACTTCAGAAATCTGAAGAGGTTTTCAATGCCGCAAAGGTAAGGGTTAGGTTTTGGTTTTCGTTTCTTCTCGTCTGGAATCTGGCAATGGAAGGTTCTGGTTCCTTTTGTGCTTGTAATTTCTTTGATTCTCTACCGCATGAAGTGAAAATTTGTGGTCTTTTTGCGTGAAAAGCGATGAATTTGATGAATTTTGGTCTTCTGATGACTTTGGAGTTTGTTAATTGGGTGGAAATCGAAGATTGATAGGTGTTTGTTCCTGTAATTCCTACTAGTCCTCATTATTTGAAGTTATGTGAATTTTCAGTTTGAATAATGCAGATTTGATGAATTTGGTGCTTTTGTTTGGTTATTGGGTGTTAATGGTAGCTCACATCTGTTTCCCTTGTTTTGGTAGTCTGAATTTAGATTTAAGCAAAGCAGGGTTTTTCTCAACATTGGACCATACTTTGAGTAAATCATAAAATGCGAGAAAATATCGAAATGTGGGATTTAGGGCGAGTGTTGGACCAAGCCTGATGAAATTAATGAAAACATGGTTGCCAAAATGGCCAATTTGTTATCCATATTTTGATCTCAATTTTGGATATTCCTGTTAAAATTAATCTCAGCGCTATGTTTCTGTGTTCTTTTCTTCTGAAAAGTCCCCCTCACTTTTGAGGAATCATGGAAAATTATTGCCAAATTGAATCTTAATCTCATTAGAGTTTTAGCGGTTTGCAGTAGACACTGGGGTCTTTTGATCTCTATCCTACTCCAATTCGGTTTAGGACAGAGCCCTGCATCTGAATTTCAGAATATTTGCCCACCAAAAGTCAGCTTGTTACCCAGCAGAAACGATGCAATTAGTCTAAGAAGTTGGATTTTATATACAAGTTGAGTGATAATTTACATCAGAGTTGATTTTCCTATAGCTACTTCACTGTGAAATGATGGAAGAATAGCAGCATACGAATTGTTGTTATGAGATAAAGGTTGAGTTTGGTGGATGAACAAGTGATACTCTTTGCACGCAGTCTCTTCTCCTCATATGAAATAAGTTATGATCAAACGTTAGCTATTGTTACTATGCAAATCACTTTGGTATCAACATCAATGTGTTTTAATGTCTTAGTTAGAATTACTATGTGAGCTTTTAGCATTGAGTGCATGTTTTGGTTAGCTTTGGTGTTTTTTCTATGCGTGCAAACTCCTTGAAGTTACACTCATCGTTTTGATGAATGATACTTTTCTTACATAAGATGTAGTTAGTGGAGCTGCATGGTATGATGATTTTTTGTAGAATTTATTGTGTAAACATGATCAAAACAAAGTAAAATATAAATTGAGCTTTGTTGTGTAAAATTCAATAAGTTCATTAAGCCAATTCTCTTTCTTTCTTTTTTTCCGTTATTTTTTTGGTATGGGCAGATAACAATCTTCACCATATAGGTTGCAATATTTTATTTGAGTTGTTATTGCGAATTTTTAACTTAGAGAAGTTTGGAACTCTAGGATTTGATGCCAGGCGGTGTAAATTCACCTGTCCGTGCCTTCAAATCTGTTGGTGGACAACCCATTGTGTTTGACAAAGTAAAAGGTTCTCGTGCATGGGATGTTGATGGAAACGAGTACATTGATTATGTTGGTTCATGGGGGCCTGCAATTATTGGCCATGCAGATGATAAGGTATTATTTTCTTCCATTTCCTTTTTACCACATCCAGATTTAGCGGGCATGCTTTTAGTTGTAAGTGCTGAATGGGGGCCTACCATGAGATTTTGAACTCTGATTACCATGAAATCCATGATTTTCACCAAATAAAAGTTACATCAGAAAAAACAGAAATCTGAAATCTATTTAACATGGTGTGACAAAGAAATAGGATAACTTGTTCTCTTAGCAACTAAGATAGACACTGGGTGAGCCTTTGAATCATACTGGAACTATGCTTGTGTTCTAGCTTTTCCATTAAGAAGGCCTTTGGTAGACCTGGTGCTTGGCAAATTTAGTTCATATGATTAACCTTCTAAATATTATGCCATTCCTTATTTATTTGGTAATTGTCACATCTTTGCTCTGTTGAACAATATAATAATATATTCAACTTACTCTTGAGTCTCAGATTGATTGGAATGAGCTTAGACGCTTAGAACCCGGGATTCTGCATAGGATTGAAAGCAGTACCAAATTTTTAATTAGGAGTGGTAACTTAAAATATTATCCGAGATTAGTGTAGGAATTGATGGGGGAGTCACCAAGTGGGATTGTTACCCCTTGAAAAATAATCTTGTTCATGAGGCTTAGAATTCAATGAACCGTTTGCAAGCCTTATAGATTGTGTACACTAGTTAAATGTCGTGGGACTGAACACATTTGCAAACAATGTCATGAGATTAGTGCTTGTGGATTCTTGGCCTTTGTGTATGTTTATGTTGGATATACTCTCTCATACAATGAATGAAATGCTTTACTTACAACATTTTTTTTTTTTTTGTTAAAAGCTCTATTAAAAAAAATCAAAGCTTAAAAATTGAAAAGGAGAGAAGGAAACTAAGAACTGATATATAAAAGAACATCAATATCGGCAGTATCATAACTCTAATGACATTTCAATGTATCTTGTCGCTTCCTTTTGTTACTTAATATTTCAGTTAACTTCACTCATGAAAGCAATTTAGGTCAATGCCGCATTAATCGAAACCCTCCAAAAGGGCACCAGCTTCGGGGCCCCTTGTGTGCTTGAGAACACCCTTGCTGAGATGGTGATCGCTGCTGTTCCAAGCATTGAGATGGTGCGCTTTGTGAACTCAGGAACCGAAGCATGTATGGGTTGTGTGCGTCTTGCTCGAGCCTTCACAGGCCGAGAAAAGCTCGTCAAATTTGAGGGTTGCTACCATGGCCACGCCGACCCCTTTCTCGTTAAAGCTGGAAGTGGGGTTGCAACTCTAGGCCTCCCTGACTCCCCCGGTGTGCCCAAAGCTGCCACTTTCCCAACCCTCACTGCCCCCTATAATGACTTTGATGCAGTCAAGCAACTTTTTGAAGCCAACAAAGGAGATATAGCAACTGTAATCCTTGAACCAGTGGTCGGTAACTCGGGTTTTATTGCACCAAAAAGAGAGTTCCTTGATGGATTACGCAAGCTTACAGAGGAGCATGGTACACTTTTGATCTTTGATGAAGTGATGACAGGGTTCAGGATAGCATATGGGGGTGCCCAAGAATACTTTGGCATGAAGCCCGATTTGACAACCCTTGGGAAAATTATTGGTGGGGGTTTGCCTGTTGGGGCCTACGGTGGGAGAAGAGATATAATGGAAATGGTGGCTCCTGCTGGGCCTATGTATCAAGCTGGCACTTTGAGTGGGAATCCATTGGCTATGACAGCTGGTATTCATACGCTGAAGCGTTTGCAAGAGCATGGAACCTACGAGTATTTAGATAAGATAACAGGTGAGCTTGTAAAGGGATTGCTAGAGGTTGGGAGAAAGGCTGGGCATGCATTGTGTGGTGGTCACATTAGTGGCATGTTTGGGTTTTTCTTCACTGAGGGACCGGTCTATAGCTTTGGTGATGCAAAGAAGAGTGATACTGCAAAATTTGCAAGGTTTCATAGGGGCATGTTAGAAGAGGGTGTGTACCTGGCACCATCACAATATGAAGCTGGTTTTACGAGCTTGGCTCATAGTTTGGAGGATATACAAAGCACTATTTCTGCTGCTGAGAAGGTTTTTCGAAGCATTTGATTTGGTAATGTTATTTTGTCTCCTTTTTGTTTGTTTCTCTAATTTTTGTTTTTGTAATGGCTTTTTCTCTATCTCTTAGTTGTTTATCTATTTGCTTGTTCTTTGTGGCCTCTTTTATGATCTTGAGATTCAAAGTTTGCTGGTTTACATTGTATTTGTAGCTTCTTTCTGTATTGTCGTTTCAACTATAGTATACCAGCCATGTTTTGGGAAATTTGTCTTGCCTTATATTAATAATCAAAAGATGATAAAACAAGATCTTTAGATTTCCATTAATATGTTCCACGTATGTGGGATACAATGCCACGTGACAGGGAAGGTGTTACTGTAGCCATTTTGGTGCCAGTCACTCAATCCAGTGAGGGAATCAACAGTTCGTGTTTGCTTCTCTGTAACCATGAGAGAGAACCATCAAGTCAATAAACTAATCCTCAACCCCTTATGTTGTATGGACCTCATGTGTTGCCTATCTGGCAACATTCAATGAGTTTTCCGCTGTTGTATCCATGTGAAATCCATGAAACCTACAAGAATTTTAGCTTGTCTTCGTAGAATCTCATCCTATTGGGACCTGCATAACCATAATCCATCATTCCCAATTTTCGCGGTTCAAAATAAGGCCTCTCTACCCTCGGGGGCGGGGATTGCGGCTTCTTCACTAGGGGAGTGACCCCCATTGCTTTATGCTGCTGACAAATTATTACCTGAAATATGAGAAAATTATTGTGGAGGTCTTCCTTGAATGTGCCTAGAACGAAGTAATATACAATAGTCTCCTCGACCAACCTTTGCACAACGCAATGATTCACAAACTGGACTTCCTAACTGACCTTGGTGGACTTTCACACCTGCCCTTTTAGGCACGGAAATATTACTTGACTGAAAAAACTCTTGAACATTCACATTTCTAGATTTTTCTTGTCAGTAGTGACTCTATAGATGAAGTCCTCTTCTGTCCTAACACGCTAGACCTAATTCCTGGACCACATCATCCATCAGGTTATGGCAGGGGCCTCAAACATTTATACCCCTAATACCCAAGTTACTATTGAGTGCATGAATTTGTATTCAAACCTGCCAAATCAGGGGAACAATTCTTGAATTGCAATGCCACCGTCTAGTTCATCCAAATCCTGATCCTACTCCCACATAAAACCATATTCGAAACCTCAAAAGCAGTGTTCGCAAAATCGAACCTGAACAGTTAACTGGACATGGGCCTGAAAGCGGGTTCAACCGTTCTAACCGGGCAAGTCCCAATAAAAAAGTGTTGAAAATAATAAGAAAGATACAAAAAAAATCTACTAAAATATGAAAAGCATATGAAGAATGATTATAAAAAAAAACGCATTCAAATGAAGTTGAAAATTAATGAAAAATGGATTTTAATGAATCGATTTGTGCTTAGGGGTATTTTAAAAATTTTCTGAAAAAAGGTGGGAAAATATAAACGTGAGTATTAATGACCAAATTTTTTTTTAATCTTTGCCATAATATAATGAATATTAAAAAATTCATTACAAACCAAATTCTTTATTTTTTAGAATTTATATACATTTTTTTGAATTTTTTTGTTTTAAATACCGGTCGTTCACCAAAACTACCCAAAACCGGATCTAACCGAGCAGTTTGAGGTTAGATCGCCCGGTTTTTCCAACAGTGCTCAAAAGTAGAAATTACGCACTCTACCCTTGCTCCTAAGCCTCCACTCTTAAATATCTCCATGGGGTTACTCCCAATTCATACTATGCCTTTGTATGGTTCTATAGGCTTTTCTTATCGAACCATGGGTTTCATGGTCATCATTAAAACTTAGCCTTCTTGCCAATGCTTTCGAGAGACCTTTTCAACCCTCAGACTGAAGATAAAAAATTTATCTCTTGGCTACATAGTAGATGCCACCTTATAGCACCTGAGGATGAATTGCAAATTGTCCTTTTGAAATGCGGCACAGTCCATGGAAACCAGAGGATCAACAATAGTCCCTATATACATGTGTTTGTATGTACAAATGTATTTTGTGAGTCAATTAGCATATCTGATGCTCTACATATTAAAATTGTGGGTGGCATGGACAGTCGGGGAGAGAGAGAGAGAGAGAGAGAGAGAGAGAGTACTACGTAGACAACTAACTTACTTACCACCGTACGTACCTAGTAGTAAGTAGGAAGTAATAGTACTACTACAACTATTTAATTTACTATAGTAATTAGTTAAGTTAAAGTTAGGTTAAACTAAACTAAACAAA